TCAGCCAAAGAGGATATCTCTACTCAGTATTTCAGTTAAAGTCCTAGGAATGAGTCTCGATAACTTGACTTTGGTCACATGCCTCCATGAACCAATCAGTAGAGCCAGGAGGATGGCATGATCTGATTGGCTAGATCCTGGTCAGGTGTTCACCCCTGGATCTGGTGCTGGGGCAGAGCCGAGAATGGAATGATCTGGTTGGTCAGATTCTGGTCAGATCTTTATCCCCCCCCCCCCCCCCCCCCCGAGCTCGGGCTGGGGCGGTGGTGGAGTATGTCGTGGTGACTGAATGTGTTTACTCTCACCAATCAGGTAGGCTGAAAACGCGGGGGAAAGGTGCTTTTCCAAAGGAAAACTGAGGTGTTGTTATCAGGAAAAGGGCTAATGGATGCAGTCAGTTAAAAAAAAAAGTCTAGTATGTTTTCAAATTTTGCTTCCTTATCGTCAAGAATTTTGAAAACCTATGTACCTCTTTACATGTTTTTACATTGACACGTAGACTTTTTTATCTGTGAGTCAAAAATATGTAAGAAAAGGTAATTTTCAGAATTGTGTACACAAATATTTTAAAATAAAACTATTATCTCACTCCTTTAGTTGCATGTAATAGAATATAAATACTACAGCAACTTGATACCCTCTAACATGTATTTAAAAAATTGTGGACTAGCTCTTTAATAGTCAAAAATATCAAATTGTGCCTTCCTTTTTTTGGGATCATATTTCTAGTTTCCTTTTCAGAAAGAAGTTTACCCTCATATAGTTTATGCTTGAAAGTCTTATTAGTCATCCAGTGATCTTCTGGAATAAAAGTACTTGTATAGCTTTAAATTAGAAAAAAATGTCTGTGATTTAAGACTCTAGGGGTTAATTTTTTTTCTAGATTTAATTATTACAAAATTATTACTACAGATAATCAAAGCAACAGAAATATATTAAAATCTTCTGTAATTAATTATTAAAGAAGAAAATAGTAATTTTGGAGGGCAGTAAGAGGAGGGTAGATTATAGTACCTTTTATTTTTTTATTTTATTAATTTTTTAGAGCTTTATTTGAGAGAGAGAGAAAGAGGGAGAGCACTGGAGCAGGGGGAGGGGCGAAGGGAGAGGGAGAGAAGAGAGAATCTCAGACTCCCTGCTGAGCGTGGAGCCTGATGCGGGGCTTAATCCCAGGACCCTGAGATCATGACCAGAGCCTAAATCAAGAGTCGGACGCTTAACCGACTGAGCCACCCAGGCGCCCTGTAGCGCCTTTTAAAAGGGGCTTGGCAGGCACCTAATTTTCCCTTCAGTGGACACTCTGGAAGTCAGGAATTTTCACCGCCTTTGGGGCAATACATTAATTAGTAATTAGTTCTCTGTAACAAATCACCATAAACTTAGTGGCTCAAAAGCACACCCATTTACCAGCTCACAGTTCTGGGGGTCAGTAGTCTGAAATGATGTGACTGAGTTTTCTGCTCAGTGTCCCCCAAGGCTGAAATCAAGGTACTGACAGAGACTGTGTTCTCATCTGGAATTGTGGGCTTTCTTTCAAGGTCACATGGTTGTGGCAGAATCTAGTTCCCTCTGGTTGTAGGAATGAGGTCCTTGTTCCCTCGCTGGATGTCAGCCGGAGGCTGCTCTCAGCTTCTGCAGGGCACACACATTCCTTGTCATGTGGCCCCCTCTCTCTTCAAAGCCAGCAGGGGAGAATTTTTTATGCAATCACTTCCCTCTCATATTTTATTTATTTATTTATATTTTTATTCCCTCTCATATTTTAAATCTTTGCCCTCTTCCTGACCTCTAGACCTTTGACCTTTATGGCTCATGTGATTAGATCAGGGTAATCTCCCTATCTTAAGGTCAACTGCTTTGGGACCTTGATTACATTTGCAAAGTCTCATCACATTTAGATTCATATTTGATTGAGTAACTGGGGGAGAAGGTGTGTGTGCACCAGGGGTTGGGAATCCTGGGGACTGTCTTGGAATTCTGCCTGCCTCAGTGAGATACTCTGAGGGTAAAAAGTTTGACTTTTTATTTTTTTATTTTTTTAAAGATTTTATTTATTTATTTGAGAGAGTGCATGTGTGCGAGAGAGCATGAGAGAGCAAGAGAGAGAGAGAGAGCGAGAGCGTGAGCATGGGGATTGGGTGGGGGTGGTGAGGAGCAGAAGGAGAAGCAGACTCCCCGCTGAGCAGGGAGCCTGGGATCATGACCTGAGCTAAAGGCAGGCGCTTAACCGACTGAGCCACCCAGGCGCCCTGCTTCTGTGTAGCTTTAAAGGACTGCTGCCCACAGATAACAGGCTGCAGGAGTCAAACCCAGGGCTGGGAATCCAGAGAATGGAGGAACAGAGTGGACTGTGAGCCTGGGCTTCAGTGTCACACAGATGCCTCCTCAAATCATAATCTTCCACTTTCTATTTTGGGCTAATTACTTCCCCTCTGAGCCTCATTTCCTCATTTGTAAGTTGCAGGATATAAACTTACTCCTCAGGTTTTGGTGAGGATGAGAAATAAAGGACCAAGAACACCTACTAATAATATTAGCTAATGTTTATCAAGGACTTACAGTGTGCCAGGCACTGAGCTAACGGAGCTTTATGATACCTGGCGTGCGCTAAATGCCCAGTGAATAGTAGTTGTCATTGATGGTGGGCTCTCAGTCAGCATGGAAAGGGCTGGTCAACGGTGGCAGTTAGATCAGCAAGGGCCTGCTGGGCTTTCTGAAGCTGGGCAGCCCGGAAAAGTCAACAAAACCAAGGGCAACCCAAAAGCTCTCTAGAGCCAGGCAGGGCAAATGACTTTAGAATACAGAATTCTTCAATTTTTAAAAAGCTCATGGATTCCATTGGAAATCTAATGAAATCGATGGGGTTCTCTTTGCATACACACACAGTTGTGGGTATAGTTTCAGGCGGTTCATGGGAAATCCCCTAAAGTCCAGCAACAAGTTCCCTGAAGCTCACTCCCATATTAAAAGTTCTTGAGAAAGCAGGCAGGCAAGGGAAGGCCCGAGAATGCAGCCCAGTGGCAGGTCCACTTGGTCCAATATTCCAGCTGTGGGGTCCTAGTCATTTTTTTCACATACTGGAAGTAGAGACATCTTGTTAAAAAAAAAAAGCCAGGTCAGCAATCAGGATTGGCAGAATCCTGAGCATGTCATTTGAGATTGGGGTCTGTTCAGGGAGAGCAGGAAAGAGTGGGCATCAAGCTGAAAATCCGGAAGCAAGATGTGGCCATTGGCTCAGTCCCTGGGGCCCCACGTCCACTAGCAGGTGCATACATGACAGAGGTTGAGGCTGAGCCTGGGTCTCCGGTTGTGGCCATGCCAGAGCCTGGAGCCCTTAGACCTTTGGCACACCAGGATGATCTCAGTAGGGACCTCTTAGGACATGCTGTCTGTGTGACCTAGGAAAAATTGCTTAACCTTTCCGGATTCAGTTTCTTCAGTGACTTTAGATGGCGTCAGTGGTTTAACACCTGGCTCTCTGAGAAAAAAAATGTTTGTCAATTTCTGTAGCGTCAGTACTCTCACCATGGCCCAATCTGAAGTCATTAATAGGGCTACAGGACGTGGCATTGGGAATTCTGAACTGCAGTTGGTGCTCACTAGCTGCCTTGACAGCGTCTAGCGGACCCCAAACACTTGGGGCTTATGAACCACTAAAGTGCTAAAGAATGAATTGGAAGGAGCTACTTGTAAAGGATTGGATTCTTCTGCTTGCCAAGTAAGCCTCAAGAACTTTGCAGGGAATCACTTTTTTACCCACTGGTGCTGCTATCCTCAGCAGGCTTTGAGGACATGTGGAGAGAGCTTAGCTCTCAGCAGGAACAGGACATTGGCTGGACAGAGGGACTTTGATTATAGCTCAGGCTGTAAAGCTTGGCAGGTAGCTTAAAAAGAGAGACAGGGCTGGAGGGTATTTTGTTTTCTGTTTTTTT